TTGTGATTGTTCACTTGAACTTGTTAGGTATGGGTTACTATCATGTGTTTTTTGCTTGCTTGCTTGTTGGAGTTCTTGACTATCGACCAGCGGCATATGACAATGTTAACACAGCCAGGTCGTTAAGTCAATGGGTCCTAGATGATTGAATTTATTGCATGTTGTTATGTGAGTTACAATGAGGTTGGTGTTGCAATCTGGAAAGGGAAGTTTTTCTCAATATAGGGAGTGAGGTGGGTCAATCTCGTGGCACTGACCCTAAGACGGGCCAACACCACTTCCTTGTATCATGAGTCGACGATAGTGCAAAATCTAAAACTATTTTACCAGAAATGCACTCTAATAAATCTAGTTTTCTTTGACATTTATTCTTTAATTGACCAATGTGGCATTTTCAACTGAGTCTACGATCAAAGAGTAGACCAAGAAAGGTATTGGGTGATTGTCTAGAGTTCGCCTGATGTTCGTCTTCCTCTATGTGAAAAAAAAATACCCCAGTACTCTTTCTTATTGAAAACGTAAAAGCCCACTGGAGTTGGGTTTTATTTTTATTCTGATTTGTTTATTTATGTCTTCATAGTTGTTGTTATCAATATTATCATAATTTCCGTAATTGCTATTACCATCAATATTGTTATGAATAGTGTTACTGTCATGATTAATATCTTTTGCTTTACAATTATTATTTTTATTATTACTATTATTATCATTATCATTATTATTATCATTATAATAATAATAATAGTAATAATATCAATAATAATCATTATTATTATTATTATTATTGTTATTATTATTATTATTATTATTATTATTATCATTATTATTATTATAATTATTACCATTATTGTTGCTATTATTATTATTATCATTATTATTATTATTATTATTAACATTATTTTTATTATTATTATTATCATTATCATTGTTATTATTATTATCAAAATTATTATTACTGTCACTATTATTATCATTATCATTATTATTGTTATTGTTATTATTATTATTAATATCATTATTATTGTTATTGTTATTATCATTATTAATATCATTATTATTATTATTACTATTATTATCATTATCATCATTATTATTATTATTATTATTATCATTATTATTATTACTGTTATTATTATTACTATTATTATTGTTATTATTATTATTATTTTCTCTTTGATTTGCATTTTTAAGATCAAACACTGGGTCACAATCAGTGACCTAGGGTGAGTGAAATTGGAAGTATGTCTTCAAAGAATAAATATTATATCAAAAGGTATAAAAATGTAGATTTAATATAAAAAGAAGAAAACCAATTATAACAGTACATTACGAATACGGGTTATATTCAGTGTTTGAATGGCAGACATTCAAATACTTAGTGCTCTTCTTAGGACATGTGATCTGCTATTCAGAGCTATTTTTTGGACTTCTTGTAGTGATGGATCTCCAGGTATTTTCTCTAAATATTGACTAGTTCCTTTCTTTATCAGGCCTTAGCTACCAATCACAGCAGGGGTAGTTTTTGTTTTGAGGTACCACATTTTAAAATTTCGATTCCTAAGTCCTTATATTTTGAGAGTTTTTCAAACACTTTCGCAGAAACATTTCTGTCAGATGGCACTCTCATATTAATGAGAAGGCACGTGTTGTTTTTCTTGTCCTTTATCACGATGTCTGGACGATTAACCTGTATCATGCGATCAGTGTGTATTGGAGAGCCTCACAATATGGTAACATCTTATCCCCCTGTAACTGGTTCCGGGTGGTGTTCGTACCAGTTGCTGTTGGTGTTCACAGAGAAGTGATGACAGATTTTCCAATGCAGGTTTTGCCCGACTCTGTCATGACGGTTCTTGTATACGCCTGGTGTAAGGGTAGAGCCACCAGATACAAGGGCGTCAGTTGTTGTATATAATGTATTTTATATATCACGATCAGCAATAAGGTCTTGTAAGAATGTGCGCGATAAAAAGATAAATAAAATTACATAAAAACAACGATAAAAGCTCTCGAATCCTGTGATAGTGGAAGTGTCTTCTCATTATAGGTCAAATATGATTAGTCATTGTAATGAAGGCAGTGAGAGACAGTAAAAAGAGGAAGATAAGGAGGGGGAGGAGGAGGAGGAAGTGGAGGTGGAGGTGGAGGTGGAGGTGGAGGTGGAGGTGGAGGTGGAGGTGGAGGTGGGGGTGGAGGTGGAGGTGGAAGGTGGAGGTGGAGGGGAGGTGGAGGTGGGGGTGGAGGTGGAGGTGGAGGTGGAGGAGGAGGAGGAAGTGGAGGTGGAGGTGAGGTGGAGGTGGGGGTGGGGGTTGGGGGTGGGGGTGGGGGTGGAGGTGGAGGTGGAGGTGGAGGGGAGGTGGAGGTGGAGGTGGAGTGGAGGTGGAGGTGGAGGTGGGGGTGGGGGTGGGGGTGGGGGTGGAGGTGGAGGTGGGGGTGGAGGTGGAGGTGGAGGAGGAGGAGGAAGTGGAGGTGGAGGTGGGGGTGGAGGTGGAGTGGAGGTGGAGGTGGGGGTGGGGGTGGGGGTGGAGGTGGAGGTGGAGGTGGAGGTGGAGAAAGAGGTGGAGGAGGAGGAGGAGGTGGAGGAGGAGGAGGAAGTGGAGGTGGAGGTGGAGGTGGAGGTGGAAGGTGGAGGTGGAGGTGGGGGTGGGGGTGGAGGTGGAGGTGGAGGTGGAGGTGGAGGTGGAGGTGGGAGTGGGGGTGGGGGTGGGGGTGGGGGTGGGGGTGGAGGTGGAGGTGGAGGTGGAGGTGGAGGTGGAGGTGGAGTTGCAGGTGCAGGTGGAGGTGGAGGTGGAGGTGGAGGTGGGGGTGGGGGTGGGGGTGGAGGTGGAGGTGGAGAAAGAGGTGGAGGAGGAGGAGGAGGAAGCGGTGGAGATGGAGGAGGAGGAGGAGGAGGAGGAGGAGGAGGAAACGGTGGAGATGGAGGAGGAGGAGGAGGAAGCGGTGGAGATGGAGGAGGAGGAGGAGGAGGAGGAAGAGGAAGCGGTGGAGATGGAGGAGGAGGAGGAGGAGGAGGAGGAAACGGTGGAGATGGAGGAGGAGGAGGAAGCGGTGGAGATGGAGGAGGAGGAAGAAGCGGTGGAGATGGAGGAGGAGGAGGAGGAGGAGGAAACGGTGGAGATGGAGGAGGAGGAGGAGGAGGAGGAAGAGGAAGCGGTGGAGATGGAGGAGGAGGAGGAGGAGGAGGAGGAAACGGTGGAGATGGAGGAGGAGGAGGAAGCGGTGGAGATGGAGGAGGAGGAAGAAGCGGTGGAGATGGAGGAGGAGGAGGAGGAGGAGGAAGCGGTGGAGATGGAGGAGGAGGAGGAGGAGGAGGAGGAGGCGGTGGAGATGGAGGAGGAGGAGGAAGCGGTGGAGATGGAGGAGGAGGAGGAGGAGGAGGAGGAGGCGGTGGAGATGGAGGAGGAGGAGGAGGAGGAGGAGGAGGCGGTGGAGATGGAGGAGGAGGAGGAGGAAGAGGAGGAAACGGTGGAGATGGAGGAGGAGGAGGAGGAGGAGGAGGAGGAAGCGGTGGAGATGGAGGAGGAGGAGGAGGAGGAGGAGGAAACGGTGGAGATGGAGGAGGAGGAAGTGGAGGAAACAATGGAGGAGGCGATGGAAGAGAAGGAGGAGGAGAGCACAAAGAAGAAGAAAACGGAGAAGAAAAAGAAAAAGGAAAAGAAGAAGAAGAAAAAAAAAAGGCAGAAGAAGAAGAAGAAGAAAAAAAAAGCAGAAGAAGAAGAAGAAAAAAAGGCAGAAGAAGAAGAAGGAAGAGGAGGAACAATTGAAAGAGAAGGAAGAAAACCCGTCCGTCGCATCGATTCCGTCCTCATGCAATCCAGAGATGAGTTTTGCATTATCATGAAATTGCAAAGGAGAGCATGATGCATTGCCATTCTAGATCTTTCGACCAACGTTTGCTAGGTGTAAGCGAGGGAGAGAGGGAGAGAGAGAGAGAGAGAGAGAGAGAGAGAGAGAGAGAGAGAGAGAGAGAGAGAGAGAGAGAGAGAGAGAGAGAGAGAGAGAGAGAGAGAGAGAGAGAGAGAGAGAGAGAGAGAGGAGAGAGAGAGAGAGAGAGAGAGAGAGAGAGAGAGAGAGGCGCAGACAGACAGACAGAAAGCGAGAGAAAGGGAGACTGATGGAGAAAGTAAAGTAGACAAATACAAGAATACACAAATAAATAGAAAGAGTGTTAAAGAGGACAGGAGAAAGAGAAAAGGAAGACAGTGAGAGAGGGAGACATAAAAAATGTACGCAACTATCACACTAAGACACTCACAGTGATGATAATAATAGTAATAATAATAAAAAATGGTCATGTTAATAATAATGATAATAGTAATGTTAATTATAATAATAATTATATTGATAGTAGTAATATTAATGATAATAATAATGGTAATGATAATAATAATAATATTGATATTAATAATAATAATTATGATAATAATGATAATGTCAAAGATAATAATATTGATGATAATAAAGATAACAATGATAGTATCAATAATAATAATGATAATAGAAATAATGATCATGAAAATAATAATAATGATGATAATGCTAATATTAATAACAGTGATAATAATAAGAATAAAAATAATAATGATAATAATAATGATAATATTAATAACAATAACAACAATAGTAATAACAATGATGATGAAGAGAAAATAAAAAATATTATGGGTTAACATCCTCAATTGATTAATTGAACTCAATATTTTTCTTCCTATTATCTCATCTTATCTCAATGTAATTTCGACGTATTGTTATCATCGCTAAAAAAACAAACAAAAAAAAACTTCTCATTGTGTGTGATTAAAGACTTCGATCCTTCTGCCAAAGGGAATTAAACTCCACAACACTTCGCATTTTTATAAATAGGGGGTTAGATTGTTTAAATCTTTTGTTGTTTGTTATGGCCAGAGCGAGAGCAAAGGGAAAAGAGAAAAAAAATGTTAATCCGTAAGTTTCAAAAGGTGTTTTTGTTCGGATCCTGTCAATGGATTAATAATAAAAAA